CCTTATTGCAAAACAAACATCGAGGACGATATATCCAACTTTTCTCAATGCTTTGTAAACTCTTGATATTTGGCCAAAGATACGCCCTGAACAAATAATCATAAACCATAATAATAATAACATTGTAATATCAAGAAAAGCTAACAAACAACAAAAACTTTGATTCAACAGGCTTGGACATTCACTTTGGTAATGCGATCCCGCACGCCATGACCTATCAAAAGAAATATAAATTTTATATTTATAATAATAATGAATCGAAAACTTATAAACTATATACCTGAATTGCAATAACGAATCGAGCAAATTCCTTAGTCATCAAATCGATATTGCCACTCCATTTTTCGGGAACAACGACCTTTAAACCGATTGGACCAAGAGCGATACCAACAGCAACACATACGACTATAAACAAATCAATTAACAGGAAAATATTTTACAGGGCGAATATCAACCAAACAGTACAAATCATACATATCGAACTTACGAGGTTCAGAAAGATATAATCTAATTAAAATATTTTTATAATATTTATTTATGATCATATAAAAATGCGACTAATCGAAACTGTAGATGACATATCTTACTTTTCTTTAACGAACGAAGAGACGAGACTGAACACGACAACAAAAAAACTTAAGATTGTGACGAGTATAGAAAATTCGTCAGTATGGAACAATTCCATGGTCGAATTTATCATTATTATTTAGTTTGATTCGTAGCTTAGATAGTAAAAAAAAAATAATAATTTTAGAGAGCGTAGTTTCGGAATTTGGAAGTTGGTGACAAACAACCATATTTATAGTTTACAGCTTATAAAACCTTAACCAAAAATAGTGAATGACATTTCAGACGCATTACCAAATCTACCGGATAATATGTATATATTGTAAGCAAACATTTTTTTGTCGTACGTACGTACGTACTTATAAAAACATAGATAGTGTATAATAATAATATATTGTAAGCAAACCTTTTTTTGTCGTACGTACTTATAAATACATAGCTGATAGTGTATATTTTAGCCACCAAATTTAAAGTTTATAGATTTGAAAGATTTGAACAAAGATTTGT